TTTCATACGCAAAATATCAAATTTTTTTATTAAGTCTTAAGGTTTATAAAGCAATGTGTTTCTCATGTCTATTTTTTATTTTTGCATGTTGTCTCTCTATCATGCAAAGTACTATTCATTTTAAGATTTAAAATACTTTTATGCATCAGAAAATTTTGAAATTTCACATGCAAAATCTTCATAATGTTGAGATAGTTATCAAATGTTTCTTAAGAAAAAACTTTATTTTATCTGTTATTTTCAGTAATTAATCACTATATGGGTTCGGTAGATTTGACCGATCTCGCAACCACCATAAAAATTAGGAAATAAATATAAATTATACCTCTTTTATTCTAGAATGACAACAAATTATAACACAAAAAAAAATAGACTAAACAGCTTAAATCTCATAACATTATACATTTATATGTATTTATTATTATTATATTGGCCTTTCACTTGTGCCTGGCTAACAATACAGAAGTTATAGTGACGTAGCACACGTGCACTCATGTTACCATATCCATTAATATAAAACTGACCTTTAGTCTTTACAAAGTGACCTGTCTTGGCTGTGTTTTAGTAGACTAGTATTTTGTAAAATATTGTCACATTTCCATTATTATATATTATATTTGTATATAGATTATACTATTTAGAAATAAGTTCTTAAACTTATTAACAGTAAATAATTAAAGTAAATCAAACAATTATCTCTTCTAGTTAGGACCTTTGTACTCAGCTGCTGCTTGACGTAGGTTGCTAAGCCTTTTAAAATTTTGCACGTGGAGGATATGATACGAAATAATTTTTTTTAGGTTTCATATATACAGTTGAATAGCCAAAAAATCATAAATTACTATATCGATACCATAGAATTCCAATATAATTTATCAAGCTTAGTAATTAAGCTGTATTTGGGTCTAACAATATATGAAATTTTGAGCCGACTAAAGACATAACCTGCCTTCTTGAAATCTCGATTTGAAAAAATGAGATGGTGTCCTAACACATGAAAATGGGTGAGAAAGTGACTAGGGGGTCATTCCGAGATTTTGATTGGTTATTCACATGTCAAATAGTGAAGTAAATGTATATAAGGGACTGTTTCCAAAATTGGAAAGAGGTGGGTGGGGCCACTGTGTTTCATTCAGTACATGAGTGATATCTCAGCAAATACAAAAGATATGAGGTTCTTATTTTTTATTCTAGCTTATCAGTATCAGTAATTTGAGTTCCTAATTCGAACAAAACTATAGACTTAGTATTTTGACATCACAAACGTCTAATTTGAACCTGTGCTGCATTCAACATACCACGTGACACACAAAAATTGATGATTAACTGTGTTTTTTAATATTTACTTTTAAATTAAGAAATTAAATAATGTGTAATACTAAGATTTGAATTATAATCTACAGAGTGATAACAAACTTATTGACATAAATTCATGAAATAGA